AAACCATTCGCCTGGAAGTTCGTTACGTTCTTGAAATACAAATATTCATTTTTCTATTCGAGTATACTACGTTCAATAACTCTTGATATTCTGTGTTATCTGGTGATGATTAACGCTGAACGAAGGGTTTGGTCAGGACAACGAAGGAGGAGGGAGGTAACTCTGGTACTTGCGGAAACTGATTAATTGATTACCCTCTCCAGCCGTTCTATACAAAGACCATGGAGCACAATATAGGAGTAGACCCAATTATACGACAGCAATACATGACTTCGATCTTCATCACTGGCCGGCGCTGCTTCCGACAGAATCTACAGAGTAATTCATGCAAAATTTACAGTTATTGCTTCATTCATATCGAAGACTCACCACTGAAGCCTACATACGCTTAGCAATAGCAAACAGGAAAGTACGATCGGATAAAACATCTACATGTGCACTTGTAAGACAGTCTTCATACTCGCCCGCGTAAGAACCTGAAAACTCACAATTTTATTTGTGGTAGGGATCTACTCCTAATAGCCAATGCCGTCACGTTTCACTGAACAAGTACAAAATTCGTGGGAAGCGGGTAAAAAAATCTGACGGTGGCGACTCTGGCAATAAAAAATACAGACGAGAGCATAATGGGGCCTATTGTGAGATCTGGCGGAATCCAAGTATGGTAATAATTTGAAGTCCGCAGTAGCCAATGCCATCTGAAAGGCAATGCTGTAGTAAATTTTATTTATATTCGACACAACAAAGATTCATTCCCACCAACTTTGACGAGCGGATCATATTTTAATAAGTTGCATAATATTATTCCCAAACGTTCATTAAACTACTTCCGACATAGTTTTTAGTATTTTCATCGTATCATATACTTCTTTGTATTGATGAATAAACGTGATATTATTTAATTAATAATTAAATTAAGATTAATGACTGAAAATATCTCTGAATATACATATAGAATGTCCTAATGGGTAGTGCCACAAAAGAAACACTCAAGAGAATAGTGCCATACATATTTTGAACAGTATGATGAATTATTCATGACCTCAATTATTCTTTCCGTCATACTGCGACTCCGAGACTCAACTGCGGTTTGCTGAATTACACTGCATTATGCAATACTGACGGGACAAATGCCAGATAAGCAACGCGGAAGCCCCAAGATCACAACAGAGTCAATCTGCTCTCTTCCAAATTCTGTTGCAGTTTAGAAAAGACATTCAACAAAAGTGGGATTTGAGGTTTCCACGGCGGTGAGTCCGAAGAAGGCTGTCTTCTGGGTTGCAGCGCCGTGTAGTCTGGTAGAAGTTTACCAATGTTTCAGAGGTCCTTGCTGCCTCCTACTTCATGGCGATCTCCCTCTGAAACAATGGTAAACGTCTACCAGACTACACGGCGCTACAACCCAGAAGGCAGCCATCTTACTATTCAACACAAACATGAATTCTGACATTATGTACTGTATAAAATGAATATTTGTTTCGTAGTCGTCTAGTATAACATTACAGTATAACATTCATGCCGTAACTTAAAACGTGACATTCTAAATTGTGTACATTAAATATTTGTTCCGCGTAATTAACTATTTGAAAAGCTCCGTTAGGAGTTCCACTGAAAAAAATGTTGACATCAAATTAATTTTACTGTTGATTTTCGTGAAACGCAATTGGATTTTAAGGTATACCTATATTACGTTGTACATTGCCTGAGGTGATGTGATACGAAGTATGTATTGGGTTGGCTATGTGTGCTCTTTACTTCAGGCGATATGTCATTTTACTGATAGATATTCTATTATTTGTATTTTAAGATATGTGGTGACAATTGGAATTGGACCATGGACATTTTTAATACTTGGGCGGTATTGTATAAACTGTATCACTGGGTCACTAAGCTTAAAATAAATAAAAAATGATCATAAAAAACTGCCAATATAATGACAACCAAACATTTGGCATTTTGTGTACATAAAATTGGATATGGCTTTGCAGAAAATAAATACTACCACGCAGAAAATGATAAAATTTTAAAAAAACAATAAAACAGGAAATAATTTGCCGCAAAGAAAAAGAAGGCTCAGAGTAAATACCCATTCCCAAATTCTAAAAATAATACTCTTCCATTTAAAAAATTGTAGTGTGTTAAATACTATTTTTGTTTGTTTTTTTAAGTTGCTGTACTGTTTTTTTTACGAAGTTTAATAAATCATAAATTCTGATATAAACTGAATTGACATTTATCTTCGTCTTTTTAATTTTTTTGCATGTTTATCGTCATTATCCTACGTCTTTCGGTCCAGTTGTTAGATAATCGGCAGTCTATTGTACGGCTATTCCTACAGAACAGCTGATATTAATGCACTAGTAAGGGGTACATAAAATACTTAAAAACCCACTTTTCATAAAACAAGAATTACTAATCATAAACCAATAGCTTTATTCATAGTACTTCGGTATGAACACCCTGAATTTACGCAGTTTAAGCTGTCTATGTCTTGTCAAAACAATGAAAGTAAATAAAACAAAAGAGTAATAATGATTGATCTTCGTGTACTAATGTGTCGTATAAGGTAGTATTAAAACTAGCCATTTTTTCAGTAATGAATTATAAGGGACACGATTCAGTTTGTCTAAGGCCAGTTTACATATTCGCTTTCGTGTAATACAGCACTAATTTATTTCAAAACCGAGATGGAGAAACGCAAAAGCTAGATTAATTTCTTTCGAAGGCTGTTCGTATGCTTTGTGCCAGTATTTATCTTGTACACAGAACTCTTACAAAGGGTCCAAGTGCAAATATAAGCCATTGGACAGGGTATATCAAAAATTTGTTTACTCTTTCGACCGTTTCATTGTACTACAGTATAACTCACGTACGTAACGTGTAGTTTCTCTCACGTAAATTTCATTGTACACATTACACATCGCATACTGAACAGCTCCTTTGTGACCTGCCCTCTTACACGAACCCTTCATTTCTAGTTCTTGTACAAATAACTCAAAATTCTGTACATAATTTTATTAAAATAAGAATTGGTTTTATTGAATTTCTGGAGAAGTTGTCACATTTAATCTTGGTATTCAAACGTAAGTAACAGAGACTCAGAAGTGCTTGGAGCAAACACACATAAAAACTTCATACAGAAAGAAGATATATAAGTATAGAGAACAATGAAATGTCAAATCACAAAAATTTCATAATCGAACTGCACGTCAAGGCTGAAAACAGTATGAAAAATGGTATCTTATTATGAACAACATCTGTCCACTGAAACTTCAAAACACCATTGACCAACTTTTCGAAAAGTGGCAACGTTGTCACGTGTACTGATCAAAATTCATCACACTACATAAACCGACTTCTTCCCAGTGATACTTATGGATGAACTTGCCGATAATTTGGGAAGGAAAATTAAGAAATATTTTTTTGCTTTCATTCCCTTGATTCAAGAACAGCTGACACTAGACACATCACGTGCATCAAACGCCATTTCCGCTAATTTGTTTTCAATTTTTTTAAAACCGCTGTTAAAGCTGACAGGTCAATTACAGGCGGGTTCAGAGCGGCCAGCGTGTGTAATTCATTGGGACTCTTACAAACAATGATTTGGCCACCAGATATTTCTTCTGATGAATGCTTTTGTCATACAGATCGAAACTTGTATATGAAATGGGTAGTTTGGGTTGCAAATTTAAAAAGTATATATCTGTAAATGATTCCATAATGAAACAATACTATTAGCCTAGAAATCAGTAGCTGCAATAGAATGGAGGAAATATCAATTGAAAAACATCTGAGTACTCGAATAATCTTAAGACTAGTCGGCTAAGTACCAGTAAAAATATCATATTCGGACAATGAAATACAAATGTTGTAGTTTTATTCGCAAAAGAGTCATACTACCATACACAACATGGTAGGTCAATGAAAAAAACAATAATAAATTAACAATGACGTGTTTCAATAAATAATAAATTACTGGAACAAATAAAACAGCATATACCTCAATAATCCACTGATAATAAACGACTATTACATGAATATCAAATCTAAAAGTTCGTGACGATAGTGAGTCATTTAAATAAAACTTTTCTTGGATATTTTCCATCGTCTAAGAAATAATAAAATAGAAAACGACGTTTCGGAGATGGGGCTCTATCGCCGTCTTCAGGTACCTACTCCGTTGGGCCCAATAGATAGAGCTAATCCTTATCTCCGGCCCGGAGTATTTGGCCCAACAGACTAGGTACCTGAAGGCGGAGATAGAGCCCCATCTCTGAAACGTCGTTATCTATTTTATTATTTCTTAGACGATGGAAAATATCCAAGAAAATGTTTTTCATTCAGACTGTTACATGAAATTGAACATTTAAGTG